CGCCTGATTGCAGAAGGGCTATCGGAAGGAGGACTTCCTGGGCCCCTAGGCGAGGCCTTCCCAGAGGAGGAGGACGCGACTCGGCCCAGGCTCCGGAGGCCGGGCCCAGCCCCTGCTGCTGGAGGGCCGCCTGGAGGAGAAGACAGGTGGCCCAGGGCCGCTCGCTGGAGCCCCGAGTGCAACTGGGAAAGGCCTGGGCCACCAGGGAGAGGACAGGGGACGGGGGCTTGCAGCTGGGGACGTGGTTTCCGCAGGGCAGGGAGTGGGCAGGGCTTGAGGCTGCTCTGGTGCATGGGGTGGGGACCAGGCCACACTGGCAGAGGCGGGGCTGCCCATGGCGGGCAGTGCCTCAGGGCAGGGCAGCCAGCGCTGAAAATAAAGGTGGTCGTGAAGACAGCAGCCAGGCCCGCACGCGTCTTCTTTTTTAAAAAATGTGTTTTTATTGGTTTCAGAGAGGAAGGGAGAGGGAGAGGGAGATAGAAACATCAATGATGCCAGAGAACCATTGACAAGCTGCCTCCTGAACGCCCCCTACAAGGGATGGAGCCTGCAACCTGGGCATGCGCCCCGGCCAAGAACCGAACCGTGACCTCCTGGCTCACAGGTCGATGCTCAACCACTGAGCCACTGTGGCCGGATCCGCATGCTTCTTTAGCTGGTCTCACCCCTGGGGGACTCCAGTGCCCCCAAACACAGCCAGGCCTGCCCTGGACTCGCACACAGGCCTCTCCGCGCCAGGGAGGAGAGCTGGCCAGCAGCAGAGGAGATGGGGTAGGCAGCTGAGGCCTTGGTGCCCCCTCAGGCGCAGGGACCAGCAGAGCTGGGGACCATTCGTGTGGCAAAGGCACCCAACACCTCTCTTTGCCCTGCCCCCCTTGGGGCTGGGGTACCCTGACCAGGGACTCTTGAGCTGTCCGTCTGAGGCTGGGACCCTCCCCCATCTCACTGAGCCAGGCGCCTTGGTTATGAAGCTCCCACTGATATTTTCACAACAAAGGGCTCCTTCCGCAAAGCTCAGCACCGAGTCTCTGAGGGGCCTGACTCCTCGGGATCCGTCTGGATCAGGGGACTGGGGACTCCACACTGCCCCTCGCAGGGGGACCCAAGGAGGCTCCGGCAAGCCTGAGCTGGCGCAGGATGGAGAGAGGGAGGGTTGGGAGGAGGGAGAGAGGGAGGGTGGGAGTGGACAGTCCGATTTGGTGACTGCGAGGCCACAGGGATGAAAAAAGGGAGGGGTCGGGGGCCCTGGGGAGCCCGAGATGGAAGTGAGAGGTGCCCCACCCAGCACAGTGCACCCCCTCCCTTCCTGCCCAGGACAGGACAGGACAAGGCAGAGGTAGGGTCCAAAAGGACTTTATTTTCTGGCACAAGGAGGGGCACTGGGGCCACCCCCGCCCCCAGGGGTCCCCGGGCCACAAGCAGGCAGGGCTCCAGGTCCGGCTCCCAGGGGATGGGGTGAGGGGCGGCTACATGTCGTCCTTGGACACCAGGCAGTAGAAGTCCGTGCGGGCGCTGTAGTTCCGGGAGCCAAGGTCCGAGACGTCCACCTCGCTGCCCCGGCCCTCTCCCAGCGAGGCCCTGCTTGCATGCGGCGTAGCTGACGGCTCCCCAAAGACAGGCCCGCGGACACCTGGGGGTACCACCAGGCCTGAAGCCCACGCTCCCTGCTCACCCTCCTGAGTAGTGGCATTGGCGGTCCCAGAGGCGCTGGCCAGGTCTCAGGCCCAAGTGCCTCTGAGAGAAGCCATGAGGGGAGGGGGTCCTGGGGGGTCCAGCCCATCCCCAGAGGGCAGGGAGGAGTCCCCCCACCTGGGCCCCTCTGGGCCCCTCAGCCCTGTGCAGCCCCTGCACGGGGCCGGGTTTCCCAGGGTTGGGGTGGGGCTGGGTGCACATACCCAGGTCCCCCTCAGGATCGGGGTCCAGCTCGGGGTCCAGGGTCCGGCCCTCGGGGACGTGGCCCCGCACGATCAGCATGGGGTCCTTGTCATCCTGCAGCCGCGTCTGGGGGTCTCCCTCCATCGCTCTGTACTGCACCTTCCGCGGCAGCGCCAACTGTAGCTCTTTCCAAAAATCGGAGGAAGGCGTCTGGGGGCCAAGGTGGGGACGTGCTTAGCGGGTGGGGACGCATGGGCGATGCAGACACTGGCAGCGCCGGCCCAGGGCCCCAAACAACACACCCGCAGCGTGTCCACTGGCGCCTGGAACCTCACA